ACCCTTGTAGTGAGTTGTTTTCAATTTTTATTTTTGTAGCTCAAACGTCATGTTTCTGAGCACAAAAAAGGGACAGTGCACATTTCTTTGATTGCTAGTATAGACATTACTAAAGATTGTTAATTTAATGTGAAAGAGGCAAACATGTGATACTATTTGAACAGTAAGACCCAGTTTTTGTTTTTAAAAGCAGCCCTACGCCTACGTATGCTCACTAAAAAGACTGGAAGGGTATACAAAGCATCAACAGTGCGTATCTCAGGCTGCAGGGGCTATCGGTGATTTTTACTTTCTTTACATCCATCTGTTGTGTGAAACAGTGAACGTGCACTACTTTTATAATCAGGAAAAAACAACAGACTATTAATGGATGTGGGGGAAAAAAAGGCAAGGGAAAAAATTTAATTTCCTGACAACCTGCAGGCCACTGACAGGCCTCTGAGACAGGAAGAGTGACCTTCCTCTAGGGACTCAGCTGCCTGGATGTTGATACTTTGCTAAGGGCAAAAGGCAAATCTTAGCTTAACAACATCCCGACCTCCAGGATCCTACGTCTCCTTTAACATATAAAAATGCCTTTGGAAACTTCCTTTATCTCTACCTCCCAAATCTATGTTAGCAATCATCCTCCAAGCATATGGCCCCTGATACACATCTAAAGGGTCTCACGACTAAAGTTTTAGTAGGCAGGAGTAAATGACATTTTCCTAACAACAGCTGGCCCCCTCAAGGTCCTGGAAACCTTGCTTCCAAAATTCCTTAGAGACTTTTCCTATCCCTAACCCCCTCCCCACTTGAAAGTAGACAGTCAGTCACCCCTCACAGCCCCAGTGCAGCTCTTTCTGCCCAGGGGTTCTGTTCCTGTGCTTTAGTGAAACCACCTTTTTGCACCGAAGATGTCTCAAGAATTCTCTCTTGACCGTTTGCTCTGAACCCCAACATTTCCACATCATCAATTACGTAATAAAAGAAACGTACGTCCATCTGTCCTTGCTTTGGCAGCCTCTGACAAGGGAGGGATTCATTCTATTCAACTGGACACAAACCAGAAAAGTCAGGCTGTACATCGTAACCAAAGAACACCAGACTAAGATTCTTGGAACCCGCTTCCACACTCCGACTGTGCCAATATTCGCTACGTTTGAGTGATTTACTCTCTCTGGATCGCCATCTCCTTATCCGTGTGGCCAAATGGTTAGCCTCAATTACTGCCAAAGTGCCTGTTTCTCGGTTTTCAAAAATCCCAGCTCCGATGCAAGCCGACGGGAATGATGGTGACTGTTTCAAAGGATAGCCAGAGGAAGCATGATGAATGGTCCTCAACCCCATCTGTCTCTGCCCCCCACGAACCACTCTCTGTCCTGGTAGCAGGCACAGATCCGCTTAGGGGCTTCCTGCCAACAAAAATGAAAAGCCAGTCTAAGCCCAGACACAAGACCAGCATGAGGTCCCATTAGCAGAAGCTTTTCCAGAGCCCTCAATCTAGAATCTTTCTTCTCCCCCCCTCCCTCCCCCCCAAACACCCTTTGTCCCAGGCAGGATCTCACAGCTTCTCCATCCACCACCAGAAACATCCAGTCGCTTAAAAACAATTTTGGAGCAACACAGGCTGGGGCTGAGCAATTAGGCGTTCACGAGGCCCCTGTTGTCAACTGGTCATTAGTTTAATGAAGGACTATTAAAAACACATAACAATCTCAACCAACAAAAATAAACCAAGCAGCCAAAGCCAGGGTCTTCACTGTGTAACAGGGCCCGCCAGTCGCGGGAGGGATGCCCCACGCGGACATCCAGAAGTAGGGGCATGTGCTGCCTGGGAGCCCCAGGCTTTAGCTGGCTTTCGTTCCTAAAATCCTCACGGTGTAAGGACCTGTGACCACACACACACACACGATATTAATTCTAGAAAGTGGTGTTAAATTCTGATGAGACAAAAAGGAGGTACGTTGGATCTAGAGAGAGGGTGGGAAGGCAGTCTGGTTTCTTGCCTCTTCAGTGTTCTTTCAGTCTTTGCCATTTTTACCTGCCGAAGGGAGGCGGATGAATGCCAGACTGCGTGACTTCCTTCCCGAGATGCTCAAATTCCTGAAAAGCGGCTTTTGTTACAAAAGAAATGGCTCAAAAGGGACTGGGGGGGGGGGGGGGTTTTTCATTCACATTTGGGGTTTTTTTTTTTTTTTTTTTTTTTTGAGAAGGCAGCTCTAGCAGCTGATTCCAGGGCGAGAAGGATCAGAAAGGCCAGCCAGCTCCTCACTGGCTGTTTCCCAGAGTCAGGGGAGAGAGGGACCCACGACCGAGACTTTTATAGGCAGAGCGGAGCAAGTCAGGAGCCCCTGTGGAAACCCTTCCCTTTACCCTCCCAGGCCACTGTAGGTGGCTCAGTCGGTTAGGCATCCGACTCTGGCTCAGGGCACGATCTCACGGTTCGTGGGTTCGTGGGTTCGAGCCCCGTGTCGGGCTCTGTGCTGACAGCTCAGAGCCTGGAGCCTGCTTGGGATTCTGTGTCTCCCTCTCTCTCTCCTCCTTCCCCCGCTCATGCTCTGTGTCTCTTTCTCTCTCAAAAATAAATAAACATTAAAAAAAAAAATCTTTTTAAACCATTCTTGGAAAAACCTTTGTCAGCAGCAGACTATTTTTCCATTAAAAAGAACAACCAACCAAACTGTCAAAGCAACCGAGTAGCATAATTCAGAGGCAAGAAGTCCCTTTCTGGCTCAAGACAGCATAGGAGAGAAATACATGAATTAATGGAATGCTTTGGTCTCTGGTAAAATTCTACAATCAAGAGACTTTCCACGCTTTTTAAATAGTAATGCTGCCAGTTTCCCAAAGAATAAAACACCACACTTTGCCCAGATGTCCAAGTGAAAGCAAACCCCAGTGGGAGAGGAACTTCCCACCACCCAGGAAAGGCTGGGGCAAAGCCGGAAGTGAAACACAAGGCTCTCAATTCACTGTTCTTCGCCGAAGCACAGGCATGAACACAGAGCCCACTCTTCAGGCTCAGATTCAACACCGCTAACAGTGGCCGGCCGCAATTAGCTCCTCGAGCAGAAATAACAAGGCTGACTTTACCTTCAGAGCACCACAAAGTTCGACGGTGTCTGCATCATCAACCACAGTAATTCGAAAATTCGGAGTCTGCAGAAGCTCTTTGAAGAGAAGGCCATTCTCCATTATCTTGCTGCCTATGGAAAGGTTACCCAAAAAAGGCAATTGAGAGGAATGCAGAATCTTAGCTTCCCCATCTAACCCGGTTTAAAATGTTTCTCTTACTACGATATGTCTATGTATCACAGAAAATGTAGCAAATTCAGAGGAATAGAACTTGAAAATAAAAATATTCCATAATTCTACCGCAGATGATCATTAACAATTTGGCACACATCTTTAAGTTCCTGAAATATGAACAGACATAGTTCTTCTCCGAATTGGCAACATAATATATATGTGGTTTCATAATCTGCTCTCTCCGTTTTATGGCATGAATAACTTTCACTGACATAGTTTCTACATCATCTTAAATAGCAGCTTTCTCTTTTCCTGGGGAAGTGTATTCTATTTTATCTAAGTATCTTTCAATGTTTAACACCTAGCGACTTTCTGCTACCACAAACACCTATGGACCAACGTCTACGTTTACATCTGTAACAGATTTGTGTTCAAACCACCCACCCTGTCCTTTCCACGGGGAAGAGTGCATTCCTTTCCACTAATGTTAGGCTTGACCACACGGAGTGCCTGGACTGAAAGCAAGTGGGACATATTTCCGCACCTCTTAACTTCGGGCTCGGTCATGTGATTTGCCGTGGTCAACAGGACACTAGCCGACGTGACGCAGGAGGTCTTGCAGTCGGCTTGTGCAGAAGTGGGGCTGGTTTCCTTGTACCGCTGCCTTCACTGTGAGAACATTCCCCGGCTAGCCCCTTGGGCCGAGCAGGAAGATGACGGACACACGGAGCAGAGAAACACCCAGCTGAGAGCAGCCGACCCCAAGGGGACCCACGGGTGTCAGCTGTGCTCTAGGCCACCGAGATTCTGCGATCTTACTTAGCATCAGGATGGCGAGAGAGAACCCATACAGACGCCAACAACTGTGTTCATGGACTAAATAGTGGAAGATGCAAATGTATTCAGAAGAGTACTTGCTTTTGCTACCGCCATGTCTGTGCCTGGAATGGGAGGGACGCTTTCTCATGTTTTGTTTAGGAACTCAGGACTAAGACTCAAACAAAACTTTACACATAAAGCCTGGTGTGAAATCTGCTCTGATGGGCGAGGGTGCGGCGTGGGGCTCAGCTCTGGGAAGGCTCTGGAAATCAGATCATAAAACTTCCCAGCCAAGTCCTGGCTCTCAAGTCACACACAGACGGTGGAAGGCTCACTGAGCAGTATCCGATTTGGGCTCCGCCCGCCTCTAGGTCCACAAGCTCGTTCCCACGCGGGTCTCTGCACATTACCATCACCTGGGGACCTTTAACTGCACTGAAGCCCAGGCCACATCCCAGGCCAATTAAATCAGTCTCCAGGGCAGCAGGCATCAGTAACTTGTGAAGGGCCCCAGGTGACTCCTGCAGACAAGTTTGCAAACTCCTGATTTAACCTGCTGCAGGCTCAACTCCCTCATGAGTGAACCGTAGGGCACTCTCAGGACTGCTGTGGGGTTAAATAAGAAGCGGGTGTGAAAACAGCCTATTAGAGCACACAGAGGTCCTATATAATGACGATGGGGATAGCTGACACATGCTTATGGCTGATTCTCCCCGCTTACAGACAGGGGGCCCAGAGAGGTTTACCAACTTGCCCAGGATCACACAGCTCAGAGGAGACAGAGCCCAATTCTACCCCAGGGGTTCTGAGTCTCTATACTATGCTTCCTGAGTGTGGCCGGT